CTGGAACTTTTAGAAACCAGGTCATGGAATAGGAAGAAAACCTCTGAGGGCAGATTCATAAATATAGAATATTCTGGACCAAGAGGGAGAGTTTCCCTCTCATAAAGGCAATTGCAGTTGACATCTTTCACTGTAAACATTTTGAGTGACACTGATGCTATTTAGTCTTGTGAATTTTTCTCTGCTTCAGAACAGACAGTTGTCTGGGGCTGCAGTGGCTCTTGTGTTCAGATCATGGGACTTCTTTTACCTGGTAGCTGTCCTGCTGCCTAATTGTCCAAACCACGACCAGGGGGTCCCCTGCACGAGAAACTTGTTCACACTGGCAGATGCCCTTGTGGCCGCTGTCTGACCCTGTGCGGTGTATGCCTGCCTGACCGTTGCTTGGCACTGGGATGCCCGGTGCTCTCCCCTGCACCACCGGGAAACCCGGCCGGGGGAGCCTCGTTCTTCAGGTGAAAGGCACAAATTCAGTTTACTATCACAACAGGGGAAAAGTTCAAAGATTTATTACTTACAGATCTGGCCAAGGAGGACACAGGGAATCATCAGGGTAGTCCTCTGTCCCCAGGTCACTCAAGGCAGGAATGAAGTGTCAGGCAGAGAGAGAAGCGTCCCGCAACTAGCAGAAATATAAGGAAATAGGGTGTGGGTTACTTTAAGTTCGCAGGCAAACGCCTGAATGGTCCGTTTAAAGGAAGGGGCGGGAAAGCAGGGAGCCCAGTCTGCTGGGCAGGAGAGATGCCTCTAAGCTCTTCTCCCTGGCCACCAGCTTGAGCCAGTCGAGTGTGGCGTAGAACTGGAAGCTGTGTCGGGGTGACCAAGGCCTGCCCTGGGGTGAGAAAATTAACCTTGTATTCCCAATGGATGCCAAGGCAACAGAAAGTTATAAGAATTCACCACAAAGACAAACCCAATCTCTGCTTCTGTGAGTTTATATTTGAGTAGAGGGAGTCAGACAATAAATAAGTAAAATAGCACGTTAGAGGTGAGTAGCGCCCTGCGTGTACTTAGGGGAAGCGTGGAGAGCGTCCTGGCACAAGGGACAGCAAGTGTAGACTGTCCAAAGTGCACGCGGCCTGGCTGGTGGGTGGGATGGAGGTCAGAGCGGAGCAGAGTGAGCCTGAGTGGGGGCCGGAGCCTGATCTACCACAGTCAGATCACAGGAGCCCTGTTTGTAGGGCGAGGAGAAGACTTTACCCTTCCTTTAAGTAATTTGGGGAACCACTGGCTGCCCTTGAGCAGAGGTGTGTCTTGGTCTGATTTATGTTGTTAATGGCTCATCCCAGCTGCCCTTTTTGAGAAGACGAGAAGCAGGGAAACCGTTTTGGAGACTGTCCCAGGCATCCAGGTGAGAGAGGATGTTGGCTCAGATGCAGGGGGAGCAGTAGAGGTCAGAGGGGTCATCACAGTAGGGGTGCGGGTTGAAGGTTGAGTCCCCAGGATATTCCACTGATTGCACATGGGGAGCGAGAGACAGTGGGGGCAAGGATGACCCCCAGGTGCTGACGGTGAGACGCCGAAGACTATAAGGAGAACAGGTCGTGGGGAAGACGGGGAGTTTGGTGTGAGGAGGAGGCCAGATAGATGAGTGTTTGTAAAGCAGCGGAAAAGTAACTACCCTTTCTTAAGTACTTCTTCTGTTCTGGGCACTGAGCTGGAAGCTTTGCACATCTGAAAGTTAAATAAACTGGGCCCAAGAGAGGTTAAATTACTTTTTGTGCTCAGAAAGCCGTTTTATAGCAAAGCTGAACCCCAGACCTCTGGCTTTGGAGTCTGTTCTCTGCCTACTGCCTGGTGCCGCCTCTCTGGGCTTCTTGGTGGAGAAGGAGATGCCCTCTGACCCCGAGGCAATGTCAGCTTTTAGAGCAGGTGTGACTGTTGGCCATGGCCCCCCAGGTCCCTGCCTCCCCTAGTTTTAACTGTACAAAAAAATTGGAAATAATACGTGATTGTAGCGATTTGAGGAGGCTGTTGTGAAGGTGTAAATAATAAATGCACACCCATAATTTGAGGCTTTTGGAAGAAATCCATGCTGAATGTTCAAGATAATGTAGGGAGTACAAATGTTTTTGTTATATGGATACCTTGCATAATGCTTAAGTTGGGGATTTTAGTGTGCCCATCACACTAATGAACAGTGTTCATTGTACCCAACAGGTGAGTTTTTACCCATCACCTCCCTCCCACCACCCCCTCTTCTTGGTTTCCAATGTCCTTTACATCTCTTTGTGCCCATAGTTTAGCTCCCACTTATTAGTGAGAACATGTGGTGTTTGTTTTTTCATTCCTGAGATACTTCACTTAGGATAATGATCTCCAGTTCTATCCAAGTTGCTTCAAAAGACATTATTTCATTCCTTTTTATGGCTGAGTAGTACTCCATGGTGTGTGTGTATATGTGTATACACTTACATACCACGTTCTCTTTATCCAGTCATGAATTGATGGGCACTTAGGTTGATTCTACTTCTTTGCAATTGTGAATTGTTATTAAAACAATAAAAAACCGGTAGATGCAGAGAGAAAGAAATGCTTATACAGTGTTGGTAGGACTGCAAATTAGTACAGCCTCTATGGGAAACAGCAATGGAGATTCCTCAAAGATAGTGTTTTGACCCCTGAGGACGAATGCCTCCCCTATAAGAGGAGCGTATTGCCACAAGGTAAAGTCCCTGCCCTAAAGCAGGTATGGTCAAGTGACCAAGTGCATGTGGGCGCGGCCCACCTCACCCTCACGGCACCGCAGATATTCTGTGCCAGCAGGCATCATCCGGGGCCCATAGACTCACTGTGGCTGATCGCAGCTAACACTTCTGAACACTTACTCTGTGCCAACCAAAGTGTTAAGCACTTTATGGGTAAACTCGTTTAATCTTCACAACCCACCCATGAAGTAATTACTGTGCATGTTCCTGTTTTAAAGATTTGGGAACTGATACTTAGGGAGGCAGAGTAGCTTACGCAGGGTCTCTTCAGCTCACAGCTGTTGAGTTGTGGAACTGGGATTTGAACCCAAAGTGTCCGGCTTTAAATCCAGTCCCCTTTACCCTGCTCCATACATTCCCTAGAAGAGGAGTAAGGAAAAACATGCATATGTGGGTGAGTTAAGAGTCTCTTTTGGCCGGACGCGGTGGCTCATGCCTGTAATCTTAGCACTCTGGGAGGCCGAGGCAGGCGGATCGTTCTGAGCTCAGGAGTTCGAGACCAGCCTGAGCAAGAGCGAGACCCCGTCTCTACCAAAATATGGAAAGAAATTAATTGGACAGCTAAAAATATATGTAGAAAAAATTAGCCAGGCATGGTGGCGCGTGCCTGTGGTCCCAGCTACTCGGGAGGCTGAGACAGTAGGATTGCTTGAGCCCAGGAGTTTGAGGTTGCTGTGAGCTAGGCTGATGCCACGGCACTCGCCCCAGGCAAGAGAGTGAGAAAAAAAAAAAAAAAAAGAGTCTCTTTGGAGAGACCCAAGTTAAGTATATGAAAGAACTCTAGGTGACCATATAGACCAGTCTGTAGAGGTGGGGCCCACTGATACAGGCCTTCAAAGAACAGAGACTTGGAGACAACATCAGGCATAGAAAAGTATAGTTTTCCCAGGATTTGAGAAATAAAACGTCAGTCTCCAGAATCCGGGTCCAGCAAGTAACTTCCCAGAACATCTCTTTGAAGTAGTCGTGATCCCCAGGAGCTCTACCCATAGACTCATTGCGGTCCAATAGAATAAGTCAGAATTGGGGTTCACCCTAACGACTCTGTGGCTGTGGACAGGTGTTATGCTCTGAAGGTTTGTGTCCCCCCACAATTCATATGTTGAAACCTAATCCCTGTTGCAATAGTATTAAGAGGTAAGGTGAGGCCTTCGGGGGGTGATTAAGTCATGAGGGCTCTGTGGATGGGATTAGTGCCCTTGTGAAAGAGACCTGATGGGGCTTGTTTGCCCCTTCTGCCACGTGAGGATGCAACTGGAAGGTGTCACCTATGAAGCAAAGAGTCTTCCCCACACATCAGATCTGTCGGTGCCTTGCTCTTGGACTTCCCAGCCTCCAGAACTGTAAGCCATACATTTCTGTTGTTTATAAATTACCCAGTGGTTCGTTATAGCAGCTCAGACAGGACTAAGACAGCAGGTTGCCGGACTTCCCTGGGCCTCTCTCAACTAGGAACAATGCTATTGGGTGGTTGTGAGAATTGAACAAGAAAACGTACATTATTCTTCCATATTTCACTTTCTCTAAGGACTCCTGCCGGAGCGTACGGGGTAACGGTGGGCGCTGTTAGCTGTGTCTGCCCCATTACCTCACAGTTCTGTCCACAAAGCCAGCGCAGATGTGGGTGGCTGTAAATGTAATGTAACATAGAAAAGCTGAACATGAAGAACATTGAAAGTGTTACTTCTGAAAAGATATTTGTAGAACATTTATGTTTATAATAAGTTGTCTTGAAGGAGTTTTTAAAAACTTTTGAAGTTTCTGCAGGTCTCTCTTTCTTTCTTACCTTGCCCCTGCTTGTCTCCCGGGGGATTGGTGGAGTAGCCAGAGCTTAGCAAATGCAGAGACCAAGTTGCAAACCCCTGCTGGTCTACTCATCAGCAGGGTGACCTTGCGGAGGTCATTTCACCTCGCTCAGCCTGGCCTCTGCCCCTGTGGAAAGAAAACACCGACATCTGCTCATAGCGGTGGTGTAAGGTCTGGGGAAGAGATTCACTGATCCTGGACCCAGGAGGTGCCGGGGCCACGTGTGTTTCCTCCCCACCCCCTCCTCTCTCCTGCGTCTGAGTTTGTTCCTCTCTCATTTGCCCCTTTTCCTTTAACTCCTTCTCCTTCCCTCCCTTCACCTGTCTCCAAGGAAAACTCTGTGTTCCCCCCGTAGCTGGTATGAAAGGAATCAAAGACCTTTCGGGACGACCACATAACCCACGCCTGTCAGGTGTCCCTGATTAAAACCGTCCGTTCTTGGCCGGCCCAGTGTGACTCTCCCTGGGCTCAATGTAGACAGATTTCCGCTCATCTCATGTCCTGACAGTTCCCAAACTTAAGAGACGATTTTGCCACAGGGAAGAAAATCAGAAATTTTTAGAAGATACACATTCTCACATAAAGCGCTTTCAAATGACTCCAACAGCCGGCACGTCCGTATATATAGGTGGTGGCCCTGTTAGTACAGAAAGCGCTGGAATTCGGCGGGAAAGACCAAGGCTGGGTCTGTTTTTTGTCAGTAATTGTGTAATTTTGCTAAAAGTCTGAGCATTTCTTTTTAATCTGTACTGTGGTTTTAAAAGTCCTCCTGCACTCTGCCAGTATTGACGGGATTCCCTCCCGAGCACCAGCTTTCATCGTTGTGTGCGGGTTTTTAACGTCTTCTAACTCCTAGTTGATTTTGCACCTGGAGAATTTCGATAGCCTCTCGCAGTTTTCCTTCCTCACACCCTCCCGCCTTCTCCATGTCTCTTGTCCATGCTGCCTTCGGCTCAGAGTCCGAAACTGGCCCTTTGATTTTCTTGTTCGATACTCTGGCTTCTTCCGTCGGACCAGCCAAGATGCGTGTGCCATCTGGCAACGACAAGTATTTTATTCTTGACAAAATTGGTAAAGAGGTTTTAATTATTTTCAGGTTAACTCTGAAGGGAGTCAGCCTTTTCTTACTATATTAGAAAGATCATTTAACCTCTCCAAGCCTCGTTGTATTCTGTAAAAGTCAGGGAACAATATATCAATAACTGCGCCATAGGCTTTGTTTTGGTGATTAAGTCAGACAATGGCTGTGCATTGCACAGTACCTAAAAAATAATTATTCCTTTCTTTTCCTTCTACATCTTTGGATTTTTTTTTTTTCTTGTTCTTCAACATGAAATTCTTGAGAGGTAGCGGGGCAGAAACCACCCTAACTACGTTCCTTCCTGCCTCCCTTTCTCCTCCTCTTCCTCACTCACGCTTCCTTCTTTCCTCCTTCCTTTCTTCCTCCGGGCCTACCTTCCACATCCATTCAGTCATTCATTCTTTCATTAATTCATTACCTTTTGAGCCCCTTGGCCTGCCCGAGGCCTGGGGGATAAAATAATAAATAAGACAGACCCAGTGCTGCCCTCCTGCTGCTAATACCTGTTAAATGCTTTTTATGGCCAGGCCCTGGGCCGTCTCCTTTAGCCTTCGTAAAAGTCTTAAGTGAAGTGTCTTGCCTGGAACCACTAACTACAAGTGGCACAACGTGAATTGAATCCAGACCGTTCTCAGAGCCCACACTCTCAATCGCAGGATTCCAGATCGACCTGAACACCAATTCTGTGAACGTGTGGAAAGTCCGGTGAAAGGGAAAATTCAGGGTGACGGGGAATCCCGTTTTAGGGAAAGCACTGCTAGTCTGGGGAGTGGGGGAGAGTCAGGAAAGCCTCTGAAGGCGAGAGAGGTGGGCGCAGTGGCCTCTGGTTTCCCCTTAGAGGGAGCGGTGGCGTATGCAAAGACCCGAGGTGCAGAGATGGCACGGACAGAAAGTGCAAAAACATTGAATCTGCCCCGCACACAGACCAGGCGGGCTCCTGACTTTGGTCTTCTGCTCCGATGTCCTCCACCTGTAGGGAACACTTCCCCTTCAGATCTCTCCTCGGCTGGCAGCCAGAGCTCCTTTCAAGTCAAGCTCAAATCTCAGCTTCTCAGCGAGGCTCTCCCTGACTGTCCCATGTAATCCTCCACCCTGAGACACCATCCCGTTCCTCTCGCCCTGCCCTTTATTTATTTTTTTTAATAGCACTTCAGTCACCTTCTAATCCAGTGTGTAATCACTTATCGGGAGGGCTGCTCTGCCCCACCCAGCAGGCAGCATAGACCCAGGTGCCAGAATACAATGGCTCCGTGTGGTTATTGTGCATCCCAGACAGTCCTCGTTATCCGCAGGACATTGGTTCCAGGGCCTCCCGTGTGCACCAAAATCCATGGATACTCAAGTCCCCAAGTCCCTGATATAAAATGGTGTATTTGTAGATAACCTGTGCACATCTTGCCTTGTACTTTAAATCATCTCTAGATCACTTATAACAACGAATGCGGCGTAAATGCTAAGTAAGTCGTTGCTATACTGCGTAGCTTAGGACAAGAAAAAGAAATCTCTACATGTTCAGTACAGATGCAGGTTTTTTGTCAAATATTTTCAGGCTGGGTTGGTTGAATCCACACATGCAGAACCCATGGCCCCAGAGGCCGATTGTGAGTAAGCACTGAGGGGGCAGGGATCTTCGTCTCTTTTGTTCCTGATGTAGCTCAGTGCTCAGAACGGTGCTTGGCACATAATAGGTTTCCAGTAAACACTTGTTAAGTAAATGAACAAATAAAGCAGGTGATTCTAGGTGAAGAGAGTGGTGGGAAATAAGGCAAGAGAAGCATGAAGTTTATCCAAGGTCATTGAAAGACAGTTCTGAAGATTTGAAAAAGATCCCTTTGGCTGCAGTGTGGGGGTGATCTGAAAAGTGAGGCAGGAAACCAGCACCAGGAGAGAGAGTTATGGCACGACTCCTGTCTGAGCAAGACGTGATCGTGGCCCGTAGCAGGATATTGGCCTTGAGGGCAGAGCAGAGCACGTGGATTGGAGGTGGTCTGGGGAAGCAGAGTGCAAAGGACTGCATGGTGAGGTCAGTTTGGGACATACAGACATGGGGTGTCTGGATCTTACAAGAAAGGTCTAGGCTGGAGGTATCTTCAGGTGCTCCCTTTATGGAACTAAAATAGAGCTTTTTCGTGTTATAATAGATGTTCTCACCAGATTATTACAGTTTCTGTTTCTGGAGTTCAGGTGTGCCCCAGTGGAGAATCCAGGGGTGCCAATTCTGTGGCGCCTGGTCCTGCAGGGAGAGTGGCTGGATTTGATGTATCTGACAGAGGGCTAATTGGATGGTGGCAGAATGTAATCAGCAAGCACAGAGGCTGGGCCAGGTGTGATCGGCAAGCTGTGATTAGTGAGGAGGAGGAGGATCGGATGCTGAGCAGAATTCGTCAGGAAGGATCACTGGACGTGCCCTAATTGTTCCTCCTGGTGCAGCCCACACCCAGTGAGTGAGGCCGGCTCCTACCTCAAATTGTCCCTGCTGGGCAAACCAGCCATGCCCTGGGTGCCTGGCTCTGTGCTGCTTCCTGGGGGGGACCATCACCAGGATTCCCCGGACTCTGGTGGGACCTCTGCCAATTGCGTGTCTTCCTTAAATGCACAGGGGTCAGGCTGTCAGGGACGTGAACTGGAGGACACTTTTAGGCTTGTAATGAAAGGAAGGAAAGACAGATTCCTGGGAGTGGATTCCAGGTGATTCTTTTCCCACTTTCTTTCCCCTTTCCCTTTGCCAGTTCAAGTGTTCCCTCCTGGGAAAGGAGGGAAGGGGAGTCCAGGGCCTTTCCTTGGGCCTGCTTGGCATCCTCTCGCCATCTCTGTAACCCTGGGGTGTTGCTCAGATCTCTGAACCTCTCTTTCCTGTGGGCAAGATGGGGATAGTGATGTTCATGGGGTATTGGTGTGAGGGTGACGTGAGATGGAGCGTATGAAAGTCTCAGTGCAGTGCCTGACACGGTGAGCTCTTGACAGTGGTAGCTTCTGCTGTTATTAATATCAGAGTCATCTTGTTACCGCAACAAGGCAGCTGTCTACATACCTAAAAGATTCAGGATGGGGAAGGACTTTGGCTTTGGAGGAGATGGTGCTGTTCTCCATGAGTAAAGACAAGGTCCCATACTAACCTCGATTGAGATGGGGAAAGTGTTCTGTGAAAGCATAGGACGGCGGGGTTTGTCCTCCGTGGACAGAGCTGGCTGTGGATCTCAGCAGGGACAGCACAGGCTGTGGAGTGACACAGTCCTAAGGCCCCGGGCTGGAGGCTCGGCTCTTCATGCACTTCACACTTCAGTTTCTTCTTCTCGATGGGAATATTATTTTGAGAGCACAATACGTAATTCACCTATACTTTGCAAATATTTGTAATATTATCTTAGTTCTGCGATGCAGGGTTTTTCACATTTTACCATTTCTGAAATAGACATGTGACTTACAAAAGCAACTTGACAGTTGGTCTTTTTCTCTTGAAAAATGTTTTGATATATCCTATAATCCATGGCCTCTTAGAATGCAGAAAATAAGGTGTTGTTATTTTTTGTTAGTATTATCTCTCTAGCTATTCCTTTTATCTTTGAATGGTAGAGGAGAGAAGGAGGGGTGGGTTGGGCTCTAGACTGAAGAAGAGCTGAATCAGTAAAAGAAAAGGATTTGGGGGTCTTAGCGGACCACTCCTTGATTAACTTTCATTGTTTGACTACAGGGCCCTGAAACATGTGTGCCATTGCTGTTTCCATAAAGGTCTCACTTGTGTCTCACATGTTGGAATAGGTACCATCTCCTGGTAGCACCTCCCATTGTGGAGACTGATGACTTGTTTCCTGGAAGCAAATGTTTATATAGGTTGTGAGCAGTGAGAGAGGGGAGATCGAGGGACATTTCATCTTGGAACAGAAACATTTTGGATTTCCCTGAGAATTTCAAGAAGAAATATTGAAAAGCTGAACAGCATTAAATCCAGGACTGCAGGAAGCTGCTCGGCTAAGAAGTCTCTTCTTGCTCATTCAGACAGTCAGTAAATATTTATTGAGCACCTACTTGGTACCCAGATGCACCGGTTATGCTCAGTCCATTAGAAATTAATGTAACTAAGTCATCCTTTGAAAAGATCTGATACTTCTGGGAACATTTTAGGGTTATGTACCATTAACGTGAAATTTTTAGCAAGATTACTTTTCTAAGATTTAGCTGATATCCGCTGCCTTGAGTTAAGGAGATTGTGTGTGTGACCATACCTTCTGTATGGATACATAGAGGGGCAGGGCTTTCCTGGGTCATCCAGGAGGAAAATAGGGTGAGGGAGCAGGTTGGGCCCCAATAAAGGCAATGGGCAAGATACAAATACATGGGGGTCTGAAACAAATATTAATTCTTGTTGAATGAATTTAGGGAGACCAAGTCTACCTTTAGAATCATGTGCTCAGAACAAGCAGCCAGTTTTTTTTTTCCCCCTTGTTTCCTCTGTAAGTATCTTAGCCAAAGGGACCCTACTTGAATGTTAGCTCCATTGTTACTTTCCATCAGCAACATGCCAGATTGGATTAATGGGCATGTGAAAGTTAAGCGGTAACCTAACGATCACTTACAACTATGTCCTTTGAACAGTAATTCGGAGCTGCAGGGTGGAGGCATTTGGAGCTTCAGTATTAGGATTACCTACGGGGTCTTTTCAAGTTGCACAGGTCAGTGCTGACTCTCATGCCCCAACAGTGGCCTTCAAACCACCAGTGACTTGAGAATCGTTGCTTTAATACAGGGTTTCTCCACCTTAGCACTATTGACATTTTGACAATTGTCAAATTGACTTTTAACATCTGTGTAATTCTTCTGCACATTGTAGGATGTTTCGCTGTGTCCCTGGCGTCTGCCCACTATCCTCCACCCCCTTAGCTGTGACAACCAAAAATATCTCTAGGCATTGACAGATGTCCTCTGGGGGGAGGGAGGCAACATCTTTCCCTGTTGAGAACCACTTCCTTAGTGACCCACTGTCACTGGTGGACATGTGCAGGGTCAGTCAGGAATACGCGGTGCTGGTTGTGGTGGTTTTCAGTGGTTGATAATGACCAAGAAAAGAAATGAAACCTAAACCTTCTACAGCTTGTTTTTGTCAGCTCATAACTCAGGGTTCCCCCATCCCTGTGTCCTTCGAATGACTGAATTAGCTCTATGTTAAGGCTCCTATTGTATGCGCTTCAGAGTTTTTTTCCCTTCTTGTTTATAATCAACAGTAGCCTTAAAAGATGCTTGAACTGTGATTTTTCTCTTCTAGGGCCACAGATAGTAGAACACCCAGTAGTGAATTTCCTCTTTCAGAAGATAAATAAATGCATTCATTCCCCTGTATCTAGAAGGATTCACAATACTAAGGGAAAATGTGATTGAATTAACCAGAGTCAGAAGGATTCATAGCCGCGATAGGTCGTGGGTTCGGTTAAAACCTGCTAGAATTTATGATCTTCCCTCGAAATCAGAAGAGGGACCAACTTGTTTCTCATCTGCATACTCACGAAGATAGGAGTCAGTACGTGCCATTCTGTGACTATCACAAGGACATGACTTTTTTTTCTTCTCCTAAATGCGTATACATAGATTATTAACAGCATCTAATATATGACAAGGACAGACGTGGCCTGTCAACGAAGACAAATATGCTGGTCTCTTCTCCGCACGGTGCGCTGGGCTTGCCCATCTGGAAGATAGAGTGGGCAGAGTCGTGTA